ATACTCCCCATGTTTATTGTGATATGCTCCAGGTTCTGTTTTAGTACAGCAGATATATGGAAGGTGACACAACCTTATTTTTAAGGGCTGTCTTTGAAGAATGGAATTGGTACTTGTAGAAATATAGGGAAAAGGACAGAAATTGGGCAATTAAATTGATTACCAATATATCTATTACTTAACAGCAGGAATTACACTGATTAGTGTCACATAAAATAACCAATTAACCCTATGTGAAGGGATCAGTTAATTGAACCAACATCATATTAGAAGAATAATGTTTACTATAATTCTGTACTTACTATGTGTATCTTCACAAAATTTAGCAAGTTGGAAAACTCTGTTGGACATAAAAAATTAGTTTTTTAATAAAGTCCTTTTATTAAACATTTATCTGTGAATTTACTGAGTCAGCATAACTTCTATAGCCTGAGTACAAGGTAATTTTCATGTTAAGAATAAAAATAAATTTTTTTCTTCTTAGTTTTCATATTCCATTTGCATAACCTCTAAAACCTTGTAAATGTTTTTTTCATCTGCTATTTTGTTTATTCCATTACTAACTGTAGTGAAATCATCCATCATGATCAATGTCGAGGATGTCCCAGAAGTCTGGACCCATAGGGAAAATAGACATAATATTCTTAAGTTAAACAATAACATTTCTAATGCCAGTTGTACATATTTCAGGAAGGAAAACACCCGGTTGGCACAGTGTACCAAGAATTGATATGTATATGGCTGTTAATGGTATATGCAATTTGAATGATAAATAACTTAAGAATAAATTGTATACTTTTACCTATGGGTCCAGACTTCTGGGACACCCTGTACAGTGTAATGAAAAGTGAAAAAATATGAAATAAAATGAACAATACAATTTCTACATCTAACCTACATAAAAGCCAGTGTGTGTCAAGTCATGCTTGATTTCTCAAATAGGATGAGTCATAAAAGCCAAAATGCATTTATACAGTTAGAACAGTTCGACTAATGTCAGCCCATTACGAATTTAGTGATGGGGTGCAAGGAGGCCATGAGGGGTGTGTGTGTGTGTGTGTGTGTGTGTGTGTGTGTGTGTGTGTGTGTGTGTGTGTGTGTGTGCCATGAAACCTTATAAGTGTAGTGAGTGTTGATATAATAAGCCTAAAGTAAAAATGCAATTTATCATGAAGGTAAAAATATCAGTTCAATTTTACACTTAAATCATTTCTGAATTAAGCTATTTTCTGTTATATCACCAACATCTTTAATAAAAAACCTTTTTAATCAGCTGAGACTCTAAATTAAGAAATCAATAAATATTTTCCAAGTTTTGTTGTTTATACATTTCATTTTATACTTTCAGTACATAGACTAACAACAATATTATGTTATACTCATGTTGCTAAGCAACTTGACATAAAAGCCATTTTGGAATGTAGTGTTAACAAAACACACTGGAATTTCTATATATTAGAAGTTGTTAATCTAACAGATTTTTACCAATAATTATTCTATGAATACACCACAAATTAATTTCATGAATGATCTTAATTTTGATTGGCTCACAAAGGAATTAACCAATGTTTTACTGCCTCAACTGCACTTTTTTTGTCTCTTTGTTGGTCAAGTTTGACTTTGCAAAATTTACTTATTTCAGTTAGCTATGAATTGTGAGATTAGGGTATACTATGGGGTGAGGTGGTAGTACTGGCCCCATTATTTTTAGATGGACTATATGCTAGTTATTCATAGTTTTTACCTTTCAATTGTTAATCTTTTTATATCTATTTTCTGTAAATTTGTGGCTTTTTTCTTGTACTTAGTACCTACTTGAACAACACCCTCCCATCAAAAAAATAAACACAGTGGGAGGTAATTAGCCACAGGTTGTAAACACCATGAGCAAAGTATGTGACCCACGTGACCTTTGCAAGTACAAGCCATAACTGAGCTAAACCTCACCTTTTTCATTAAACTCATTCTTCAAATAAAAATAATAGAAGATTTCAAATATACATTTTAGATTACAAAAAATGTATAAGGCAATAGAAAAGAATATCCTAAAACAACTATAATTTAACTGACTTTCCTACTCACAGCAGAAAAACATGATAGCAAAAACTGAAACTCGGGGCAAATATCTAACTACAAGTACAAAAAAAACTAGTATTCTAAAGAATATTGTAAAGAACAATCAACTCATTCTATTTCTCATAAAAAATCCAATAATAAATATAAGAGAAAATTATTGACATTTTTTCAAAGACAGGAGGGGTGTAGCATGCATGTTTAACTTTTTTATATATATCTCAGTAAAGCAAAAAGCTTAGAGGCTAGAAATATAAATTTTGGCTTGCCATTATATATAATATAAGTGTGTAATTGGTGTCACTCCCAGAAGATCATAGGGTAGAAATAAAATATAGAATTGGCAATTTGGAGTGCAAACACCATCATATGATACAGATAAGATTGAGAATTTATCTAAATATTTCCTTTTGGAATTAAGATATTAAAACTTAGATAATCCAAGACTGAATTATAAATTAGTTTGGAAATGTCAAGCTCATTGATGTACATTGCTTATAAATCTGTTTAAATCTTGACTGTAACTCTAAGAAAGTTGTAACATACACACTTTGACCCCTTTATATGCAAAGGATTAATCAAAATTACAATTAAATCACTTAATTAGTTGAAAATATTCAACTACTGAAGTGTTTCTTGCTATTAATGTTTGATTATTCCAACTATCCAAGTAATTGAAAAACAAATTGCAATTATGTATGCTTGTTGTTAAGTGGAAAACTACATAATGTGTTAACCAATTGAACCAGAGTGTCAGAATTTTAAGTTGTTTTTTTTTACCTTAATGACGATCACCACATACTTTTTTTGCTTCAATGATGTTATAATCAATTAAAGAGTCCATCAATTAATCGATTTGCAAATGTCACCAATTTTCCAGTTCTGAAGATGACAACCTGATTTGATACTTTCAGGTAATGATGTGTTTGTAAAGACGTAACAAGTTTCAACTCCATTGTGCATGAAGATTTTCATCTCTCATAACTTTAAAGATGTGAAACATGAAAACAACGAGGCACAGTAGAAGATACACAACCTTGTGTAAACCAGAAGATCTCTTAGACAGTGGCAGTTACACAATCTTCCAGCACAAGCATCTCTCTTTAGGATCAAACTTCAATCACAGAAATCAACATCACAGGTATACTCTCTATAGATCTCATGACATAGCATCAGTTGGTTGCCCAGTACATCGCTAATACTGAGTGTTTTATTGTACACATACACATGCCTAGACTTTCACCATCACCAAATAACCAGTATATACTTCATGCTGCTGACCACAGCTAGGATTTTACCAGTGACAAACAATACAAATGAATAAATGAAATTACTTAGATATTCATTAGTAGTAAACAGATTACATGGAGTTAATGTCTGTTTCAACTTTCCCTGCCCATTCTGTTGTCATACACCTCACCATAAGGAAATGTGATGGTATAACATGCTTCCATGTATCATTATATAAGCTGATATACATTATCATATGTTAATATTATAAATAACTTTTCTCTAAGTATTTTCAGAAATTCAAAAAGAAAATATATCCAATTAGCATATAGGTCCTCATTTTGTGGTCACTAAATTGGGAGTTATGACATGGTAAGGATATAGCTATTAGAAACAACCGATTAGATCTGTCACCATATTCTGATGAGGATTTCTGGCCCTTATTGACACATTCTATAAAAAATAAAAATAAATTTCTCCAAGAAATACTTTCATATACTCAGCTAGATACAGTTTACTTTTGTATAATACAGATATATATATATATATATATATGGGACAACACATAAAACAGTATCGTGGAATTTGGTGTTTAATATATTATATGAAGATTCAACAAATCACGTAAGTTTTAAAGACCTAGATATCACACAAAAAATTACAGTCACGCTAATAATATTACTACTGTGTTCTTGTTGATGTAGTAAAGTAAAAATCAGAAGAAATACATTGTAACCTTGGAGGCAGAGGTTGTTCTATAATAACACATGCACATAGAAAACAAAGTATATCAGATGACTAACTACCTTTATTGGTATAGCTTTCATCTTGCTGGTGAGTGAAATCATTTTACGTTCCATAATATCCAAATTAAACAGAGTAAGTAATAATACATAAATGTGTTTTGATGTTTTTATATAGTTTAACATTTTTTCTTTAATCATTGCGCTGTAATACTCGTAGATCATCACTTTTGTCATAAGACTACAAGCTGCTTGAAATTCACAAGAGAATTTTATTTTAATCATTTGTGAAAACAATTTAATTGAATGTAACTGATTAATAAGCCTGACAATTAATCAATTAGTGCCTTTTTCTGCTCATTCATTTATTAAAATGTGATTATGTTTTTAACAATTAAGCCAACAAACCACAACAAATAAATGGAAAAATATTTTTCTAATTTAATGACTATTTTCTCCTACTTCAAAGGCATCTTTTTTGCATTTAATGCTGAGAATGGTAGAACTAGGGGATATAAATATAAATTTTGGCACGGTAGGAGTCATCTTTATTCTTCTAAGAAGGGTGGTTAGCGTTTTAAATGGGTTGCTTTCAGATGTAGTGAATATAGCTAATTTAAGGTAAGGCTTGATAAATAATTGAATGATAAAAGCAGACTGAGCTTTTTATTTTTATTTTGAAGTTTAGTGTAATAGATGGGATGGCCTAGATGGACCATCAGGTCCTTTATTGTCTGTAAATTATATGCATATATATTTTCAGATTGATAAAGGTAATAAAGTCCCAGTATTTATAAAAAAAAACAAATAAATATGAAGTGTAAATTCAAACATTTATTACATTTTCATGCAGTAATTTCTGCTCATGTTGTTGTTGTTTGAAAAGAGGTCAGACAACACAAAAAATGGTATTTCTTATAGTCTTGATTTACAAAATTTCCTGCGGGAGCATACCTCCAGTCCCTGCTATGGGGATTGTGCCTTTAGCTCAAGTTTTTCTTCATAACAAGATGTCCTGCTTAATATAGTAGTATTACCTCCCTGATCTTAAAAATAATAAAAACTATGGGTTAGGTCTCAACCAATTACTTATCCTTTTCGAATTGCAGGGCATTTTAAGCTTCACAAACGAGTTTTAGCACCCGAACTAAACTTATTTAATTAGTTAAATCACAAAATAAAGTTTTATGGTAACTTTAATATAGGAATTTATATTATTAAGTTAGCACTTTTATTTATGAGAATAAATTCCTGGCATATTTCTGTAGTTTTATCATACAAATGGAACTGGTAACCATATGAAATGATAACAGAAAATCATCTGTAACCTTTGTTTCCATTATTGAAATTTCTCTTTTAATCCAAACAACAAAGGCTTAACCCATACTCCTGTCCAAAAAGAAAAAAACAAAAACATTTTAAATAACTATCACATTAGTTGAAAAAAAAGTTACAATTACAAGAAGAAAGATGGTAGGTGCCAATAAATTTTGTTTATGATGAATTTAGGGTTAAATGACACACACACCAAAAACATAAATACATGATTTTGCAATAAGTCATTTAACCCTGAATTTTTTGTAACCCTAAATGGTCCACACAAAAGTTAATTAATTTAGTAATAAACAAAATGCTTTTTTGTAACAAGTAGAAATTTTAAGAGGAAAGCACACACTTATATTTGTAGTACTAGCATTATAACAGCTTCCTGCTTCTAATCTTTATGACAGGATACACTTCCTATATGTTGTTAGAAATTGAAATGTATATATATATGTATGTACATAATTGCATCTCTATATACGTATGCACTGTACTTTTAAAGCACGAGAAAGAAGGATCCTACCCAACTTTAGTAGCAACATTCTAGATTATATGAATTTAAGTAAGACACATTTTGTAGTTTAACATTTTATTTCTAATTCTGGTACTTTTTTTTTTCTATTTAAACACAAAAATATAAATATCATGGTGACAGACTTCTGTGTGTGTGTTTTCTTATAGCAAAGCCTCATCGGGCTATCTTCTGTGTTCACCGAGGGGAATCGAACCCATGATTCTAGTGTTGTAAATCCGAAGACTTACCACTGTCCCACCCCTCATCTAAGAAATAATAATAAAAGTATTAAAGATTATGTACTTTAGATTTTAAACAAACTTTCATATTGAGCCCTTTACGGGTTTTACCTAACCAAAATTATTTTAATATTTAACAGCACAAATCACCAGTGGCAGATTAATGTAAGGGCTGACAGGGCTGCAAGACCGGGAGCCTAAAGATTGTTAAATGTTTTTGAAAAATTTATAGAATTCCATTGATAAGTCTGAAGAAACTACATCAGCTCATGGACCCCCAGAAAGGTTAAAGTAACCCTGCAAATCTCATCATCAAGTAAACTATTTCACACATTCTAACTCTAAATAATTTGTCTAAAAACAAGTTTGCATCTACTTTTCAAAAGCTTAAACTTAACCTCATACCAAGCACAGAAAAACCTATATGAAAACAAAATTTTAAACATATAAATCAAATCACCACTAAATATCATTCTTCTATGCTTCAAATAAAACAAGTTCAAAATTCTAAACTTCTATTCATAGCTTAACCAACTACTAATTCTCACAAAGCAATAAAAGTGTCCTTATCATATATCTATCAAACAAATGTTTAAAATAATTTAGACTATCAAACCAAACTGTCATTAACCAAACCAATCTATAAGATTTTAGCAATTACAAAAGAAAGGTTTTTTGATAAATAAAAAGTCTAGATCTACACTTGCAAAGTTTTATTACCTAAAATTCAAGTTTTCATTTACAGCCTTTTTGTTCCAACACTCAAACAGTTTATCATTAGGAAAATTATCCAAGCCCTAAACAATTTGAAACATCTTAATAAAATCACCTCTAATTCCTCTGTGACCCACTCTCCAATTCGTTAAGCCTCTATCTGTAAATCAGTTCATTCAATCCAGATATCATTGTAACAGCCCATCTCTGCACTTTTACCAGCAAGTTATTATAGTTTAATATACTTATATATATAGGGTTTTTATCATTTTTATCAACACTATTCATCACTTTTTCAGCAATTACAGAAAATCATTTTCTTCTACATCACTGCTCTTCTCACAAAATAAGTAAATAATCTAACTTCCTACCTTAAGCATATTAGTACTATTACTATGCTTCACATGTCAGTTGATGTTAATACTCAGTATTCACATTCTAATCTAGTCATTAAAACTGTTCCAAAACCTATGGAGTAAAAGTAACACTTTACAGATATTAGCTCTTTCCACATCTGACTAGGATCTTGCTATTATTGACACAAATAATAAGTAAAAAACATGCAAACAGACTCAGCTATATGCATTCACCAAAGAGAAAGTGTTCATTTAACACCATCTTTTACTTGCTACCATAAAATAAATTTTATACCTGCTCCTTGGTATGTGATTAATAATTTTATTTCTTAGTTGGAGTTATAAATTTGTAGAAGGTATTACCTAATGGCATGGTTTTTGATATTAGTGTAAAATATTTGTAGCATTTTTTTTGTTTTTTCCCCCACTATGTATATAAATGTGAAAGGCTACCTGACTTTGGTTGCTTTGTTCATCTTTATACCCATGATGGTCAAAAGTTGTATAACCTTGATAAAAGACTATTAAACTTTAGTCACTTTTCCTTTTTATATATATTATTAATCTTCATGTCATTTGCTTTTGAAAATTTCAATTAAACTTAAATGTTTCTACTTTCCTAATAAATTTGGGAAAATCTTATTCTATTTTATAATGATTCTCAAGCAACTTTCATTATTCCTAAGCTAAGTTAAACCTTGTTTAAAGAAGTACTTTGAGCAAATTCATAAAAATAATAATAAGAATACATCAATTTTACAAGTGCAGTACTTCAGGGTTCAATGTTAGGCCCTTAACTCTTTTTGATTATAATTTCATTGTACATGTCATTGGTTAGGCCTCATTTAGAGTGAGGCGTTCAGCCTTGGGCTCCTATCCCTTAAAAAAGAACATTGAATTGTTGAAAAGAATTCAGAGAAATGCAACTAGAATACCGTGGATGGAAAAATTAACATTTGTGGAACTGTTTTCTCTCAAAAAAATGAGTTGGGATCTGACTGATTTTCTTAAGATTATTCATAGCGTTAGTGCATCATCTTTTTCATACTTAATGTTGAGAATGGGAACAAAGTTTGTAAGGGTATAAGTCATCTTCAGCTAAACTGTTTTATTTTTCTAACAGGATGGTAAGCTTTTGGAAAGGTTTGTCTTCAGATTTGGTGGTAGCAGTAAACTTAAGAAGTTTAATGATGGCTTTGAGGTTTTTTCAATAATCTAACTTAATTTAGTGGATGGATAGTATAGCACACATGGATGAAAAGTTCCTTTGTTGTTCTTAAATTTTATATATTAAATATTTTATTATTATTATTATTATTATTATACAAAAAAGAATTAACAAAATAGTAAAAAATGACTATTTTCAACTGGCCAAGCATGTGAATCAACAAATAAAAATTGAAATAACCGAAACAAAAATGGCTTGTCAAAAATACTGTAAATTAATTGTGAAATTATGACAATATTTTGGGTTAAGGCCTTTAACCAGTTTTTATAACGATTTTTAATTTTAGACACTACCTGATGAAGAGCCTTGACCCTAAATACTGTCATAATTACAAATAAATTTCAGATTTGCATTGTTTTCCCATGTAGTGATCTACCATTGTCTCCTACCACTTTTTTTAAGCTTGTAGAATGACAAACTTCGAAATGCATTGGGTTTTTCTATGTTCTGTCAATTCATTAATCTTTATTTCTTTAGTGCACTGTTTATGTTAATTGTTACGCTGATGTGATATTGTTTTCAAGGTAGATCTTATTACTACTACTAGTACTACTAATACTATTTAACTAATATTATACAGCATGTAGCCTTTATTATAGGATTGCATCAAATATCTCATGAAATTGAAAACCTAAGTTACAAACAGCAACATAATGAATCTTAAAATTTTAAAAAGTAAAATTTTCTACGAGCCTATATCTTTATCATAAAACTGTGAGCTTTTTAAACGTTTTAATAGTTGATTATATGGTATCAAAATTTGTTGGACCATACTTTGACTTGCACTTTATTTGTTCATCACAATTTTTTTATAATTATAGTTTAAAGTCTTGGTCTGAGAGCTCAAACCTTTAAAAAAGTAAAAGTCTAGATAAAAATAATGTATAATACATTTGAATAAATGATATAAAAATTCAAGTATCTAGTTTTCACACTCACCCCATGCTTGCGTTATCTTTAGTCATAAGTAGGCTTACGTATGTTTTGGTTTTTTGGCAGTGAAGATTAAACACAAACTGAGATTCAGAGTTTGGTTTTTCGCACAAACCAACTAAGCTTACGATTTAGCTTGAGACAGTCTGACTTTTCTCCGTTTACACTTTGTCTTAACAAGTATGGATTGAAACGCATGCGCAGAAGAGACGAACTACTATTAATCTCGAAACGGACGAGATTCGTGAAGTACGTAACAGTAACAGCTTTATTGAAAGAATGTGTTTGATGTGGTGATTACTGGTCATTAAAAAACAACACAAGAAACTTAAGCTGTCTTAAATAATAAAGTCATAATTTATGCATAATATGACCACACCAGATGCTCCACCTTCAGTTCAGTTAGTGCCAGGTGGGTTGATAAACATTAAATAATAACTTAGCCTAATTGTTACATATTTTTTCAATTTCATTTTTCATTATAAACTATGAAAAATCAAAGAAATTAAAAGTAGTCGTACTTATAAATTGTAATATTAAGTTATAATTACTTAAACAATTACTTACGAACAATAAGTAGCCATTTGGTCCTTCAAGTTCAAGGCAGTCCTAAGGATTCCCACCATACTACAGTACAATCACTCGATATATGAAAAAAAGAAGAAGATTCGTTTATCTAATACTTACTAACTTAAATTCGATTTCGAGGAACCCACTTTGAGACTAATAATGGCTGGAGACGGCTTAAATGGGTAATGAAGAAAAACTTTAATATAAGTTTAACATGACAGCAAATGTACTGATGATGACAAAACCTTGTCGAAACGTTGTACAT